TATTTTTTATAAAGTTACTAATTAAAATTGTAAATTATATTATTATAAATTAAATTTTTTATTAAAAATAATATTAAATTTTATAAAAATAGTTAGCAATTTTAGTTAAATTACATAAACTGCAAAATATCTCTAATTATATTAATATTAATATTAATTATAAATTAATATTAAAAAATAAAATATCTAAGATTTAATTTTATAAATTAAGTATACAAAGTTTATAATATAAAGATTTGTTATTCAAAATATTATTAAATTAATTAGTTAATAATTCTGAATATTCAAATTATTTTCTAAGTATTTCGTTATTAAATCTTTTTTTTTGCAATTAGTTATTTTAATAATAAATTTATAAAAGAAAGTTCAGAAATTTTTATATTAACAAGTTTTTGTTTTAATATCAGCTTTTGTTTATTATTACTCTTTTTCTTATTTCTGAAAGAAAATATTTTTCTAGAAATTTCTGGCAATAGAAAATTGTTAAATAATTAATAAAATAACAAAATTAAATATTTAAAATAAAAGAAATTTATAAAATAAAATTTAAAAATATTTTTATAATATTTCAAAATTATAAATTCATAGTTTTTTCTAATAATTAAATTATTATTGAAAAAGATTATGACTCTATTAATAAAATTTTGAGATAATAATATTAAGAATTTAAATCAAAAATCAACCATTTCTTTATTCGCTCAATGCAATCCTTACATGACTAAATTCACTAATCACTTAAAATATTATTATAAAAAATTTTTGTTGAAAAGCCCTGCCATTATTCATTCTATTATTTTGTAAGATAAGAGAATATCCAATCGGATCTTATATTTTAACTTCTTCAGACAGAAGAAAAATTAAAACTCACAAGCGTTATTTTTCCTTGAATCAATTATTGGCCGAGCATAAGTCAAGTCTCAGTGAATTAAGCCAAGAATATAAAGCTTTATGAGCTTTCAGGATTATTAATGACTTATGATGCATATTCTCAATCAATTAACTCGTTAAAAAAGACTACTCTTGATAATTCTCGATTGATTTCTATTCAATGTACATTTACTGTACTATATCATATTACTGTCTTCCTCTAATACTCTATAGCTTCCACATAGGAGTTTTAGGTGGTCAGGCAGATATTCGCTTTGGTTAGATGAGCATACAGAAGTTAAATGGATGAAAATTGCATACTGATGAATCGGTACAGGTGTAGGTTTGAAAAAACCTGAAGCGTTAATCAAAATGTCATTACTGGGGTTGAATTTTAGCATGACACCAATATTTTTACTTTTGATTTATATTAAGATAAATTTATCAAATTTATATTCAGTACAAATCAATCTTTTTATTATAAATGATGATTGTGTATAAATATATATTATACCGAAATTCCAGGCTTAACGTTGTTTGAAATAATCTAAAAGCACGTTCCTAGCTTCAGAATCTTCACCAAAATCTTTAACAACTACGCAAGAGCAAGCGACCACTTTTCGAGGATTTCCTTCACGATCAATTTTACAAAGACCCGCCCATTCACCTAATTTCTTCGCATCTGATATCTTGATAAGGCTTATATTATGTTCAGAGCAAAGTGCTTCTACTAATTTCAGGTATTCTTTTTCGGTGCATGTTTCGACTAAGACACACAAATGAGCTTGGCGCCTTTAGACAAAAAGATAATTAATGCATTTTGTAAGATTAAAATAGATTGTCATCAAACGGACTGGTCTTCTCACCTGTCCAAAGCTTTGGCGCATTCTCTTAACCCACGGGCCAAACCATCAACTACAAGCGCACGTTTTAAGACATCCTGGAGGGCGTCTTCAACACTCTTTTTTTAATTAATATTAATCAACGGATAAAAAATTGTTTAATCTTCTCGATAAACTAACTAGTACATTCCGCAAGGTTTAATATTAACTAAAGTACCATTACTCCCTTAGCGGGAGCGTCAGAGGTAACCTGAACTTCGGCTTCCTCAACCACTCCGGTTTCCTCTTCCTCCACAGCATCATCTCGGTCTTCTACTGAGGACGACATTGTTTATTGATTGATATAAGGTATTGGACGTCGTCACTTCAATTATAGAATAAATAAACAATTAATTCGCTGAATTGGCGAGGATGGATGGATGTTTTTTGAACTTACATGATGTTGTATTGTAATAACTACTACCCGATCTATTGATAGGATTTTATTAAATTTTTTTCTTTCAAGATTTCGCGTGATTTTTTTTACATGTGATTTATTTATTTCAATGAACAGATCAACAGTACATAATAATGATATCGATATTATATTATAAACAGCAATATTAATGAATATTATTAATATCCCCTAGATATTTTTTAGTCGGTTTGTGCAAATGACTTTTCTTTGTGAGTAACACATGCTTTGGTAAAGCAACAACTATAGATTTATCTTCTCCGTATTTGAAGTTATCAGCAACAACATCGTCCACGTAACGTTTTATGTGATAGTCGTACAATTTTCCTCTTTTGAGACTTAGGAAACTCCAAGTGATTACATATGGACCAGTACTAGAAAATCAGATGTGCAAATAATAGTGATGCGGTTAGGGAATTGTATCTATAAAAAAAAAGAGAACTTATTGAGTTTACCTGGTGACAATTGATTTCTCTTTCGAATTTGCAGAAGTTCCCATATTGAATCGAGCAGGAGTGAAACAAACCTATGGCAATACAACAATTTTAGTTAATATGGAAGAGAATCTAAGATTTATAGAATAATAACAACTACTTACATCCACTTGCATCATTTTTATGTGTTCAGGTCTTAAATGCAATTTTATCCCCTTGGGCTAAAAAAAAAATAGGGGATTAGAGATAATGAAAATAGCCAATTAATTTATTTACAGTTTACCAACCTTCGAATCCTTTGCAAAGCTCTTTTCGAATCCAGTCCTGTCTTCTCCTGCAATTTGCGTATTGATAAGGAGGAGATAAGTTCGACAAGTGGCCACAACATATTTTCCATCTGAAGTCACATCAACTCCAATAATCGGGTCTCCCAAGCCCGTTAAATTCGTCTTTGCATTTTTTCCAAGAGTGTCATATAATTTAACTTCACCCTTTTCATTTCCTAGTGCAATGTGTCCCTTTTCGTCGGTTGCAGCACATGAGAAATTATTCTTTGTCACGTACTGTTTGCGACTAGAATCGACCAGTTTATATTTCGAGTTGACACGAGGGTCAATTCGAAATATGGAATTGTGCGATATTCCGATGACAGTTTTTTCTCCTGTCATTTGTGCAAATTTCTTCTCAGGGACGATGTTTGTGCATGGAATGACATCGTGCACATTCCATTCCTCGACTATTTTTCCATATTCCAAGTCCATTTTGTAGAGACTGTGCTCATTTTGGTCATTCATTAGAAGTAACGATGAGTCTTCCTCATGTAACATCACCTGTGAAGATCATAGCAAATTGTCTGTTAATATGGAATTTTCATTCAAGGAAAATTATGCCCTACAAAATATACCTTTTTAGGACTAAATGTTTTCCCAGAAGAATCCGCAATGTTCTTTATTGAACTTATATGCTCAATATTATCATCATCTGTATGTCTGAAAACGCCAATATTGTGACCCTTCACAACAAATGATCTATTATGTTTATATCCAACAGCAAGGTGACTATTCTTTTCATTATCAGAATCCGCATCTCGCCTATCATCCTTGTTATTTCGATCTGATTCATCCTCAGAGTTTGAATCATCGTCTGCAAATTGATAAACTGATTTCAGCAAATACTCTTAGTTTCAAATCATTAAACAAGAGAAAAAAATTTGTTTACTTTACCATCTGAATCTTCCCGAATCACGTCTGGCATCTCCACATCATCATCATATGTACTAATTACGTATTCTTGATCCTCTTTCTGCATTAAAATGAGGTAATCTTAAATTAAGGCGCAAAAAACCAAAGATCAAACAACAATAATATTCTAGATGCAAACTCTAATGGAAGAAAATTTAATCTCATTTAGTGCTTCAAACATGGCTCGCGCAAATACTGCTCTAAAATTTTTCGTCTCCTCGAGGCTGTCAAAGCGAAGGGACCAAGAGTATATCTCTCCTCCTTCTATATATTTACGTAATCCATATTTAGTTTATAAATACATAGCAGCAAAAAAAATCGGCAAATTGCAGTACCATCGTAATGACACCAGATTAAACACCAATTTTCCTATATTCAAATCAGAATAGTTAGAATACGAGAAATTCAATAAATGACGCTCGAAATTAGAATGTAAACTTACAGTACTAAAAACCGGATTCATATTTGGCTGAAGTTTTTGTCCGACATAATTAACTTCATCGTCAAAGATATTCAGCCAGTCTACGAGAAATAATATTAGTAAAAATGCCAATTCAAATTTTACAGATTTTTTATTCCAAAACAAAAAAATATACATTGGAAATTGTTGCCCTGGAGTAGCGTGGCTGTTACTTTAGGTGCATACTCAACGAAAGTCGATGTGGCAGCATCAAATAGGTATAAGGCAGCCTCAATGCTCACTAACGTATCGAGATTCGAATATGAATCAGGCAATTCTGATTTTCCTATTTGACGCGTCGGTGTTGATCGTGAGGAAGAACTTGATATTATAAGAGGTGTAGTAACCGAAAATGCGTCAGGGGATCGTGCGTGAACTGAAGTACGTGTAGGAGTGGATGGACGCTCATTCACGCGTTTCGGTCTGTGTAGATGATTAAGATATAATTTAGATTCACGTTGTAAATTGATATTTAATAACTTTGCATCTAACTTACACATAGATAAAACTTTGAATGTCCTGATCACTGGCATTGTCGTGAGACTTTCTATGTTTCCGCTCGTACATACAATGATACATAGTAAACTCAAACGTTTTCACAGTATGCTCGGACACTCTCAAATCACAAACGAATTCAAATAAATCAATCGAGTTTTCCAAGGCGTCCTCGCCAAGATTCTTCCATATAAAAGTTTTGAATCCTTCAGTTTCACCTTTACGAAATTCCAACGATTCATCAATTAGAAATGATTTTTCAATGTCTTCTACTATGAAGGATTTTATTGTTAATATTAAAGAATTCTTTGGATATGATAAATAAAGACTGTAAATTGATATATATAAATTTACCCTCATCTTCTTCGTTTTCAATTTCTTCTTCACCTTCTTCGAAAATTCTGGATATCACCAACTGGTATTGCCATTCTTGTGGTGTTCGACGTATAGTTGCTTGAGAATCCCTATATCTAATTTTTGTGAAAATAGTATAATGAGAGGCTTGTAAGTGTGCTAAGCTATCTTTATTCTTTCGTGCATACATGCATTCTCGAGCGACTTTGGAATTATCGGGTCTAATGCGAATTAGTTGACCACCGCCAATTTGAAAGAGTTCAGGATTATCGGGATTGCCTTTATGCAAAATTCTAATTATTATACTGTTTTATTGACCTAAGGCACCACAAGTAACTCATAATAGTACCCCAAATTAGTTTTCCTATGTTTTTTATTAGGTTCATTTTTTGAATTTGTAAAAAGGACAGTCTTCTAATTCAAGTTTCTAGCAAAGAACACAGTATCCAAAAATAGCAAATATCTTAATAATGTTTTTTAATTTATGTATTATGACTATTATTATGCAAATTTCAACTATTGACGTATTCATCATATGATTTCTATAAAAATTTTCTTGTTATATATACATTCCGCAGTTTTATATATCCCAACTTTCTCCTTTATTATCAGCCAATTTCTGCGCACAGAATTGTTATACTGCGTGGCTGTATAACAAAATCCTTGTTATAACAAAAGAGAACAAAGAGAATTTATTTTCGTTTTGGGATAAAGTTTCAGTATATCTTGATATATAACAGATTTTACAAAAATCAAAACCGACAGTCTCAAGTATTTGGCTTTATCTAAAAATAACCTACTAATTTATAAACATGCCGAAGAATAAAGGAAAGGTAAAGCATTTTTTTTGTTTCACATATTAGAAAGCTTTCACTTTCTCAGCTGATTACTTATTTTACCTGTGTGACTACCTGATTAGGGAGGAAAAAACAGAAGAAGAGGAAAGAATGAAAATGAGTCTGAAAAGAGAGAATTAATTTTTAAGGAAGATGGTCAAGGTAAATTTAACATTTTTTTTCTCATGATAAGCATTCCGTTTTTTTAATTATGGCTACTTGAAATCTTTTTGATTTACTTTATCTGCTTTTTCCATAAATTACTGCGCCCTGCATTAAACTTTTGTCGATAATTAGAATATGCACAAGTAGTTAAAATGCTTGGTAATGGTCGTCTGGAAGCTCAATGCTTCGATGGGGAGAAGCGATTAGCACATATCCGCGGAAAACTACGGAAAAAGGTAAATAAGCTAATTCGTGTAAATATAAATATAAATATAAATACTTATTGGAATTAAATATTAAATAGGTTTGGATTAATCAGGGTGATATTATACTTATTTCACTACGTGACTATCAAGATGCCAAAGCTGATGTCATTCTAAAATATACTACTGAGGAGGCTAGGAATCTTAAGGCATACGGCGAATTACCGGAAAATGGCAAGCTTATTTATGACTTTCTTTTTCTTATTAGAAATTCTTTATTTTAATGTGTGTTGATTAATTTTTATTGTTTGATTTTACAAAATAGCTAAAATAAATGAAACAGATACTTTTGGTCCCGAAGACGAAGAATGTCCGTTCGACTTTGAAATTGATGATGTATGTATTTTCTTTCGAAATGAATATACTTTACTAGCATTATTAAAATTACTAATGCAAATTTTTTGTACTAACAGATTTAACATTAATTTCGAGTACTGTAATAAGATGTGAAAAAATTGCATAATGTCTATTGACTCGATTTTTATATGTATGATAGCTTGGATATTTTATATAATTTTCCAAAACTTCAAAAAGTAAAAAAAGTATTAGAATAATTTTTTCTCTAATATTATAAACGTTTAAAATATGTATCACAAATTTATTATATAACGATAATGGTATTTTGTAATGGTATTATTCTGTTAATCTTCCAATAAAAATATAATTGAATCCCGTACTTTATCTAATTAATTAAATGAATAGACCAATCAATAAGATATCAAATAGGATAGTTTAGCATCTATAATTCCCGTCTCCATGAACGGATATTGGAATTTAAATTATATTTTCTTTCATGGCAAAGAGAAAAGAAGCATTGGCGTTTGTTATAGTGACAGCTATAAAGAAGCACAAATAAAAATACACATCCAACATTTATTTTAGAACTTTATTATATTTAGATTATCACTATGAAATATCAACTATCATCACATTTAGCTGGTAATATATGATTATACACACGTTTAACAATATGTTATCGGAAATTTTAAAAATGTTACTGTAATTGAGATGAATCTAATAATAATGTCTTTGTTCAAATGGAATTACTAGATGTTGAAATATTCGACCAAATTGACAAATTCATTTTTGAATTTCTAGTTACATATTATAGGGATGTGTATAATTTTTTAATTTTCTAATTAAAAAATTTGCCATTATTTTTGTTAGTAAAAATTGAATCTTTAGGAAATTTTCTGAAAGAATGGTTCGATTTTTTTTAGAAAAAAATTAAAAATTCTGTTTTTTCTGAAAATAATTTTCTGTTTTTTTTAAAAAAAAATATATTTTTTTTTAGAAAAAAGATAACCTGTTATTTCTTATATTTTTTGAATTTTAAAAATTTATTAATTAATTCAGTAAATTTTTAATTCAATTATAAAATTCTTGTTTTTTTGAAAGAATTTTAGCAAATTTCTGAATTTTTTTGTTATATTTTCCTTAAAAATTTTTCAGAATTTAGAAAATTTTTTAGAAAATTTAATCTAATAAATATCTGATAAAATCTTAATATTGATTTTTAACTGGCTTTTATTAAACTTACTTTAGATTAAATATTTTGAAATATTTTCTAAATAATAATATTTAAACTAAAAAAAAATCTAAAAAAACTGGATAATAATTTTTAACTAATTTTTATTAAACTTATCTCAAGTTTTTCCAGATTAAATATTATTATCTCAAAAATATATTTCAAAATATTTAATTTAAAATAAGTTTAATAAAAGCTGGCTGAAAATTAATATTAAAATTTTCATTACTTACTATTATAGATTATTGTAAAATTAAATCATTATAAAATTTATATAATATATTAATTATATATTAATTATAAATCAGAATTAAATTGGATGACTAGTCATATCATGATTTTTTCATACAAAATTTCTGGTGATTCTTTATTTTATCTTTTAATTTGTAATTCTTACTTTATAAGTTAAATTAGTTTTAGACTTAAAGCATAACTATGCTATAACATAAATAAATAAATTAGAATTAGATTTAAAAATTAAAATTATATATAAAAATATCTTTCTGATAATTTTTATTAGTATTTTGAACTAAATTTAGAAATTTTTTTTCATATTTTCATATTTTTTATTTTTATATTTTGTCAAATTAATTAAATTTATATATTTTTATTAATTTATACTAAAAATAATATCTTAATTAATTGTGATTTGCAATAGTTAATCAAAGAATTATAATTTAATTGTAATTAATTGTAATAGTTAATCAGAAAATTGCAATTAATTGTAATTTTATCTTTTAATTTGTATTATCTAATATATAATAATTTATAGTATTATTATTGATTAATTTTATAATGATCCAATTTTATAATAATTTATGATATTTACTAAAAACAAAAATTATTTTAAATTTGAAACTATATTTTATTAATTTATATTTATAGACAAATAAAAATTTTATAATTATAATTATTATTATAAATTATAGAAATATAATATTTTTTATTATATTTTGAATAATTAAATTAAGTAAAAAATATTTAATTATTTATTTTTGTCAAATTAAATATAAAAAATAATTTAAAATATATAAAATACTAATAAATAAATAATTTTATTTTTAATTTTATTTTATTTATTAATAATTTGTAAATTAAATATAAAAAATATTTTAAAATATTAATTTTATAATCAGATATCTCTATATTCACACTATTAGAATATAAAAACTATAATTATATAATGTTATAACTATTATAAGAATTTTTTTATATAGTTACAATTATATTAAAAATTTATAATATGATTATATAAAGTATTTTATAAAAAAATTTATTAGCTAATTAAATATTTAAATAAAAATATAATTTGATCATTTCTAAATTTTGATTAATTTTTTATATCTTTTGAATTTGTCTTTAAAAAAACATGTTATTACATTAATAATAAATTTACTAAAAAGAATTTATCTTATAAATAGTATCAAATAGCAAATAAGTTTATAAAATAATATTCAAATCTAAAAATTAAATACTTAACTATATTAAAAATATTAAAAAAAGCCAATAAATATTAATTTTAAGATAATAATATGTATATTAAAAAACTTTTTATTATTATTTTGTGAAATATCCAATATTAAAACTTGTTATAAATATATAAGTAGAATATATTATAATTAAAAAAATAATTATATCAGATTCAATAATAAAGAAAAAAAATCACCAATTTGTAAAAATATTTTCTATATCTGAGAAATTATTTATATTTTTAAATGGATGGGTTACTAAATTTAAAAAATATAATGAATTAAAAAAATTATAATGAATAATAAAGCAGCGAGTACTTTTTTAGAAAAATTATTTAAAGAATAAAGAAAATTGCAAGAACTTTTTTCTCACTATAATTTAAAAAATATATATAATACTAATAAAATAGATTTATTTACTAATTACTTTCTAATCAAATACTTTTTAAAAAGCTAATAGCTGAAAAGAAAGAAAATTAAAAAAAATTAATTAAAAATAGCTAATTAAATTAATAACAATATTTTTTATTAGGAAAAAGTAAGAGTAATTATATTATTTTATATAATTATTATAATATATATTATTTATTAAATAATTTATTAATAATAATTAATAAAATAACAAAATATAATTTATAATTAATTAATCAAATTTAATTTGATAATTATAGATTATATTATTTGTTTTATTAATTGTCAATTATATAAAAATAATAAATTTTTAAATAAATACTAATTAAAAATAAATAATTATTTTTTTAAATAAGATATTATTATTTTATAGCTAAATTTATTTATTATAAAATATTAATAATTCTTTGTTTTTTAAAAATAATTAAATTTTATTAATGTTTTTTAAATATTTTGTACTATAATAATATTAATTAAATTAATTATAATAATTTATTTTTTATAACTATAAGTTTAGCTTTATATATATATTGAATTATATATTATATATTATATTAATTTATAATATTATATATTATTATATATTATTATAATATGAATATTTTATTAGTTAATTTATATTATAAATTTAATTAAATATATGGTGCACCACACTAAGTCGCATCAAATACTTTGAAATACAAAAACTTTATATCCAAATATATAATTATCAAAAA